TATGTGTGTTTAATGAGTCCGCCAGATCAGAGGCAGTAGGGATGACCAGGGATTTTATCTTGATAAGTGTATGAATTGGACCATTTCCCTGTCCTGCTAAGCATTCAAAATGTAGAGTACTTTTTGGGTGTCAGCAAAAATGTATGGAGTAAAAAGTACATTGTTTTGGGAATGTAGTGAAGTAAAAGTTGTCAAAAATACAAATAGTAAAGTACAGATACCCCCAAATATGACTTAAGTAGTACTTTAAAGTATTTTTACTTCGGTGCTTTACACCACTGCAAATTCATCAGCAACCCCCTTATAATCAGAACACAACTTGAGTGAGAAAAAATAGCATACAAGGAGTTTTACCATGACTTTGGCAGTGCATGGCTGGACGAACCAAGAGAATGATTTTGCAAAATTTCAGTTTTCAAGCAAATTATCTGCAATTCTACACTTTTTGTCATGAGGTAGAGAGCCTTTTTGTTGTTGCAGCTTTAAACCTCATATCCTGCAATTCTACATCCTGCAATTCTACACAGTCTCATGGCAAAAGTGGCAGTTTCAAAGCTTGAATTACAGTGCATTTATGTTCAAAAACATTTTAAGGGGAATACAAGAAGAGTTGAGTTGAACAATGTATAAATGGTGGAGTACTGTGGATACCAATATCCCTGTGAGACTCCCAGGCCCATGTTGCCCAGGGTTAAGAACATAAATCGTAGATTAAAGAGCTATATGGAATATTTTTTCATTGTAATTCCAGAAAATGGCCTTAATATACTTTATCTACAGTAATAGTGGAATGATAGTGTTTCACAATATTTTCCCCCCATTTATTTTTATTGGCCACACATAAAATAGCATTCTAATGGTTCAGCCTTCTTATTGGTCAATAAAAGACAGACCATCTCTTGTTAATTTGACTGGAGCCAGCAAATCTCTTGTCAAATTGACTGGGGCTGAGTTTGATGCTTACCCTTTGCTGTCCCAGTCAATTTGACAACAAGATACCATCTGTCTTTTGTTGACCAATAAGAAGGCTGCACCATTACAATGCAGTTTAGTGTGTGGACAAATTTTTTTGGGGGAAGAAAATATAGTGAAACTAACATTCCACTATTACTGTAGATATATTAAGGCCATTTTCTGAAATTACAATGCAAAAATATTACACCCTATAAACCTATTCCACGGATCCCTTGGCCAAAATTCATTTAATCTGTTAGTAATATTCGTAAAGAAAACGAAATGTAATTGTTATTTTTTTTGTATTTTGAGATCTGGCAGTGGACCCCCTGCAGGACCCCCAGGGGTCCCCGGACCCCACTATGATCTGATCTACTAGATGGGTTATTGACAATGACTGTAGGTTATTGACTGGACCAACAGATAAAGTCTTTGCTTTCAGGGTGCAGCAAAATACTTTTTCAATGTTAGAAAAAAGTTTACATGTTTTATTAATTTTATTATAAAAAAATCTTGCTTGTAGACCTTAGTCATTTTTAATGTATATAATTGTTTGCTCCTAATTGCTGCAGCTAAGAGAAACTCTGTTTTTTGTTTCTCTTGTAGCCCCAAGTGACTGTGACCGTGATGCATGGGACATGTTATTGACAGGCTTTGGAAAGATTCTGAATGGGAGGGCTTGCTTCTGAGAACTGACTGCAGCCACAAATCACCAGTCACCTTTTCCCTGCAGCCGACCTCGACTGCAACTACCATTATTCCAGCCCATAATTAACCTGACATGTCACAACTGAAAGAGTCAGGTGATCGTGGGAAAGACAGGGAGCGGGGCGCCCGTCCCAAGGTGAGACAGAGCCGGTCTGAGGAGAGAAGAGATGCCGGCGGGGGGCAAAAAGGAGGAAGAGGAAAGAAGAAAGGCCAGACGTCCCATCAGCAAGCTGCGGCGCGGCCTGTCAGCGATGGCTTTGAGTATGGGGACCTGCTGAGTGGACTGGAGCCCAGGGACCGCTGCTTCTCCTCTCCCCTGAAGGAGGGCAGGAGATGGCAGGGCCTGGAGGGGGTCACTTCACTCAGTCAGGACAGGGGGACAGCCAGGCTGGCACAGGGGACAGCTGAGCCACCAGCCAGTGAGGCTGAAGGCAGGGGGGCAGGTGGCAGTCGCACACTCCGCCAAAAGATCCAGGATGCCATGGGGCAGTGTTTCCCCATAAAGACCAACACTCCATTGCCATCGTCGTCCAGTTCCACTCAGCAGGTCTTTATGCCACAAGCTGCTGCTGCCGGGGCTGCTGCCTCCTCCTCGCGCCGCAAGATCCACCTTACTGAACTCATGCTGGACGACTGTCCCTTTGCTGCAGGCACCGAGCTGGCTCAGAAGTGGTACCTCATCAAGCAGCACACAGCCCCCATCTCCACACCTCCCGTAGTGGATACCTTGGTGGTCAGCACTAGTGCCTCTGCCTCAAACATGGCTGCCGTGGTGGAGGATGTGGATGACAGGTTGCGAGAGCGCAGGCGCATCAGCATCGAGCAAGGCGTGGAGCCGCCGCCCAATGCAGAGATCCACACGTTTGAGGTGACGGCCCGGATCAACCCTCTGTACAAGCTGGGGCCCAAACTGGCCCATGGTATGAATGAGCTGGCAGTGGACGATAGGGCTACCATTCACCAGCAACAGCAGCTGCTTCTCCAGAGGCAACAGCAGCACCAGCTCCTCCTGCAGAGCTGTCTGGACACTCTGGATGAGGTGGTGGCTGTGGCCTCCTCCTCTTCTGCCTCAGCGTCTGCCTTGGTCCCTGTCTGTGAGGCTGCTTCTGTCCCTGACCCCGTGGTTGACCCTGAGGTCACAGTCAGCCTCCAGCCAACCAGAGCTGTCATCCCCCAGACTGAGGGTCCCCCTACTCAGGATGGCTATCGCATCCACACCCAGATCGACTACATCCACTGTCTGGTGCCTGACCTGCTGCAGATCACTAACCTACCCTGCTACTGGGGTGTGATGGACCGCTATGAGGCAGAGACTCTGCTGGAGGGCAAGCCAGAGGGCACCTTCCTCCTCCGCGACTCAGCCCAGGAAGACTACCTCTTCTCTGTCAGCTTCCGCCGCTATGGCCGCTCGCTGCACGCCCGCATCGAGCAGTGGAACCACAACTTCAGCTTTGACGTGCATGACCCCAGTGTGTTCCACGCACCCACCGTCACGGGCCTGCTGGAGCACTACAAGGACCCCAACTCCTGCATGTTCTTTGAGCCTCTGCTGTCCAACCCCATCCACCGCACCCAGCCCTTCAGCCTGCAGCACGTGTGCAGGGCGGTGATCAGCAGTCGCACCACCTACGATGGCATCAACGTGCTGCCCATCCCCTACACCCTGAAGAAACACCTGAAGGAGTACCATTACAAGCAGAGGGTGAGGGTACGGAGGATGGACACCTGGTGGGAATAACAAAGACCTTCTGGTGGAAGTGAACCGCAACTAGGCTACTAACTAAACACTCTATGGAGGCAGGCCTCACTCAGTGGACAACCAGTTGACTCACTCCATTTCTTTCCCCATTTGTCTTAATTAACATATACTTACCTACTGCATTCACTGTATACCTAGCTACCGGTTTATTTATTATTTGCTGTATATGACATCTCTTACACTTGTCTTAAATTCTGTGGATACTATGTTAATTCAATTACGATGCACATTCACATTTTTCTTTGCTCACAATAAACTTCGGAGTCATCATAACGATACGCCATGTGTGTAGAGATGTATCACTTTGGGTTGACGTGAACAGAGTCGAGGCTGGTTTGGTGGATAAGTTATGGAGCACATACAGGTTTAGTAATGGATCAGTTCATTACCATTGCCAAATGTAGGCTACTGGAGACAAACAGATGTTACTTGTAATAGATAATATGAATGGCAACATGCTGGCAAACTGCTGAGGACCTGGCTGGTGTTATAAACCATTTGCGAATGAATTTTTTATATATTTTGTGTCGTTCCTTTGAAGGCAAAATAAATGTATTTAAGTGAATTTTTGACTCGTCCTAATGACCTTGAATAATCCAATACTTTCCTGTATAGCCTATAGTTTTCAGAGGTAAACTAAAACTACCGGGTGTAAGGCAGGTAAATGTCTCGAGCTTCTATCCATGTGAGATGTTATTGTTCTTACTTCCTTTCAAATGAGCGAACATTTAAGCCATTGCTGAATGCCTAACACAAAATGAATCCAATTGCATGAGAGTTGAAGCTGTTTCTCAGTGTTAGAGCAAACAGACAGTGATGATAATAGAGCAGTTTGTTTTTGGTGCTGAGAACAGAACATGAAGCAGCACCTGCTGAGAAGAGCTCCATCTCCTCTGTGAAGTTTGGAAGTAGATCTGTCCAGCTTTGGTCTATTGATCTTCTCAGCCTACCATTGAGCCTGTGTTGGAAACAGGAATGATGATGGAAGCACATAAAGGCTACCCTTACGTTTAGATTGTTGAGTCATTGTGCCTTGTGTTTGGAGGCTGTTGCTGTAGCCTGGTCCAATATAGACATTCCAGCATGATGGTGATTTTAGGAAGGCCTCCAATTTGTATAGCGAAGTGATCTCAATATCATGTTTCAGTACTGGCTATATCAAAGGGAGCATTGTATTATCAATGCGCTTTAAAAAATATATTCTGCCTTTTAAGTACCATGTCCTCACATGAACTGAAAATGTACCAAGCTGTTGTTGAATTTATGCCATATCTCTGTTGATGATGTTTGGGCCTGGAAGGCTGATGAAATGATCCAGATATGTGCAAATTTACACATACCTCCGGCTGGGACTAAAAGCAGATCTGGAAGAATTCAGATAAGCAGGCCTCTAAAGTCACAGACAGGAAATTGTATTTGCATACAGTGCATTCGGAAAGTATTGAGACCCCTTTTTCCACATTTTGTTTTTACGTTACAACCTTAATACCCCATAATGATCAAGCGAAAACAGGTTTTTAGACATTTTTGCAAATGTATTAAAAACATATATTATAAATACCTTGTTTACATAAGTATTCAGACCCTTTGCTATGAGACTCGAAATTAAGCTCAGGTGCATTCTGTTTCCATTGATCATCCTTTAGATGTTTCTACAACTTGATTGGAGTCCACCTGTGGTAAATTCAATTGATTGGACGATTTGGAAAGGCACACACCTGTCTATATAAGGTCCCACAGTTGACAGTGCATGTCAGAGCAAAAACCAAGCCATGAGGTCGAAGGAATTGTCCGTAGAGCTCCGAGACAGGATTGTGTTGAGGCAGAGATCTGGGGAAGGGTACCAAAAAGTGTCTGCAGCATTGAAGATCCCCAAGAATACAGTGGCCTCCATCATTCTTAAATGGATGAATAATAATAATATGCCATTTAGCAGACGCTTTTATCCAAAGCGACTTACAGTCATGTGCGCATACATTTTTACGTATGGGTGGTCCCGGGGATCGAACCCACTACCCTGGCGTTACAAGCGCCATGCTCTACCAATTGAGCTACAGAGGACCATGAAGTGTGGAACCACCAAGACTCTTCCTAGAGCTGGCTGCCCGGCCAAACTGAGCAATCGGGGGAGAAGGGCCTTGGTCAGGGCGGTGACTAAGAACCCGATGGTCACTCTGACAGAGCTCCGGAGTTCCTCTGTGGAGATGGGAGAACCTTCCAGAAGGACAACCATCTCTGCAGCACTCCACCAATCAGACCTTTACGGTAGAGTGGCCAGACGGAAGCCCCTCCTCAGTAAAAGGCACATGACAGACCACTTGGAGTTTGCAAAAAGGCCCCTGAAGGACTGTCAGACCATGATAAACAAGATTCTCTGGTCTGATGAAACCAAGATTGAACTCTTTGGCCTAAATGCCAAGCGTCACGTCTGGAGGAAACCAGGCACCGCTCATCACCTGGCCAATACCATCCCTACGGTGAAGCGTGGTGGCAGCATCATGCTGTGGGGATGTTTTTCAGTGGCAGGGACTGGGAGACTAGTCAGGATCGAGGCAAAGATGAACGGAGCAAAGTATAGAGAGATCCTTGATGAAAACCTGCTCCAGAGCGCTCAGGACCTCAGACTGGGGTGAAGGTTCACCTTCCAACAGGACAAAGACCCTAAGCACACAGCCAAGACAACGCAGGAGTGGCTTCGGGACAAGTCTCTGAATGTCCTTGAGTGGCCCAGCCAGAGCCCGGACTTGAACCTGATCTAAAATCTCTGGATAGCTGTGCAGCGACGCTCCCCATCCAACATGGCAGAACTTGAGAGGATCTGCAGAGAAGAATGGGAGAAACTCCCCAAATACAGGTGTGCCAAGCCTGTAGTGTCATACCCAAGAAGACTCGAGGCTGTAATCGCTGCCAAAGGTGCTTCAACAAAGTACTGAGTAAAGGGTCTGAATACTTATGTAAATGTGATATTTAAATTTTTAATTTTTAATACATTTGCAAGCATAAAAAAAACAACAGTTTTTGCTTTGTCATTATGGGGTATTGTGTGTAGATTAATAAGGAAAAAAGTTTTAAAATCCATTTTAGAATAAGGCTTTAACGTAACAAAATGTGGAAAAAGTATAGGGGTCTGAATACTTTATGTAAATAGGAACTATCACTATTTAGTAAATTAAAGAAATGAATGCCTTCGTAAATGTTTACAAACAAGACTTAGAGGGCAGACAGCATTTCATGCAAGGACTTTCATTTGACTGGTTATCGGGGACCCTTACAACGATTAATTGCATAATTTACCTATGCAGTGGCGTGATTGACTGCTTTGTGTGAACAGCATTTGGTATTAATGGAAACACACAAAGAGAGGCCTCTGTGCTAATGAATGTGTGCGGTGTGCAATAATCACAGTGGACAGCTGTCCTAATATTAATGAGTGAGCATGGAGAATGGATCAGTACTGTCTGCAGCCATCTTAGGAATCATCACGTGTCTTCAGATGGATGATTTGATTCACTGGAGAGCATTTATTTGATTATGCTACTGTTTGTATTCAACCTGTTATCCACTAAGGAGGATGTCACCAAACTATAAGAGAAGTTGCATGGTAGCACCGTGTTAGGGAGCCCTCTCACTGGGCACAGATGTCATTTCAACGTCTAGTTTTGATTTATATTTGGTTGTTAACTAACGTGAATTCAATGTGAAAACCACTTTTTATTAGATTTAGGTTAAAAGTTCATCACATTTTTTTGTTTTGTTGAAATGACGTGGAAACAATGTTGATTCAACCAGTTTTTGCACAGTGGGATGGCCTCATGTATACTTCCATAATTCTAATGTTAAAACGTTTTCTATGTTGGAGACTTTTAACTTACAAAACCATTCTTAGGCACATATAACTATTAAAGTGTACAGTCGTGGTCAAAAGTTTTGAGAATGACACAAGTATTGGTCTTCACAAAGTTTGCTGCTTCAGTGTTTTTAGATATTTTTGTCAGATGCTACTATGGTATACTGAAGTATAATTACAAGCATTCCATAAGTGTCATAGGCTTTTATTGACAATTACATCAAGTTTATGCAAAGAGTCAATATTTGCAGTGTTGACCCTTCTTTTTCAAGACCTCTGCAATCTGCCCTGGCATGCTGTCAATTAACTTCTGGGCCACATCCTGACTGATGGCAGCCCATTCTTGCATAATCAATGCTTGGAGTTTGTCAGAATTTGTGGGTTTTTGTTTGTCCACCCGCCTCTTGAGGATTGACCACAAGTTCTCAATGGGATTAAGGTCTGGGGAGTTTCCTGGCCATGGACCCAAAATGTTGATGTTTTGTTCCCCGAGCCACTTAGTTATCACTTTTGCCTTATGGCAAGGTGCTCCATCATGCTGGAAAAGGCATTGTTTGTCACCAAACTGTTCTTGGATGGTTGGGAGAAGTTGCTCTCAGAGGATATGTTGGTACCATTCTTTATTCATGGCTGTGTTCTTAGGCAGAATTGTGAGTGAGCCCACTCCCTTGGCTGAGAAGCAACCCCACACATGAATGGTCTCAGGATGCTTTACTGTTGGCATGACACAGGACTGATGGTAGCGCTCACCTTGTCTTCTCCGGACAAGCTTTTTTCCGGATGCCCCAAACAATCGGAAAGGGGATTCATCAGAGAAAATGACTTTACCCCAGTCCTCAGCAGTCCAATCCCTGTACCTTTTGCAGAATATCAGTCTGTACCAGATGTTTTTCCTGGAGAGAAGTGGCTTCCTCGCTGCCCTTCTTGACACCAGGCCATCCTCCAAAAGTCTTCGCCTCACTGTGCGTGCAGATGCACTCACACCTGCCTGCTGCCATTCCTGAGCAAGCTCTGCACTGGTGGTGCCCCGATCCCGCAGCTGAATCAACTTTAGGAGACGGTCCTGGCACTTGCTGGACTTTCTTGGGCGCCCTGAAGCCTTCTTCACAACAATTGAACCTCTCTCTTTTAA